TTCCTTCCCCTTGGCTGAGAATTTTAAGGTCAGCTGTGACAAGCTGCTGTGGGGAGGAGGGGGGGTTCCTTGGTCCTGCCTCTGAGCAGGGGGGTGGGTTGGGGACCCCTTCAGCCCCTTCCCCGATGTTTCTAGGTCACATGGGGAAACTGAAAGGAGCAGAGACCTGGCCGGTCCCACCGGGGCTGGGGAAGGTCGGGCGGGGACCCTCCACAGCACGGCGCTGAGTCACGGGGGGGTGCGTGGGACACGACTGGAGCTAGGGCTGACGCCAGAGCTCTCCCTCCTGATCCTCTGAGGGCCCTGGGGTGGGGCAGGATTTCAGCTGGGCGCCCCCTCCCCCCAAATCTGGGAGCGTGGCTGGACCTGGCCGGTCCCACCGGGGCTGGGGAAGGTCGGGCGGGGACCCTCCACAGCACGGCGCTGAGTCACGGGGGGGTGCGTGGGACACGACTGGAGCTAGGGCTGACGCCAGAGCTCTCCCTCCTGATCCTCTGAGGGCCCTGGGGTGGGGCAGGATTTCAGCTGGGCGCCCCCTCCCCCCAAATCTGGGAGCGTGGCTGTGGAAGCTGAGGCTGGCAGGGTTGTGACAGGAATGAGCCCCCGTTGGGACAGACAGGCAGAGCCATAGATTGGTTCGGGGTGGTCGCTTTAGACCCTGCACTGTGGGTGGGCCCCACGGCAGCCACCTGCCCCATCTTATGGATGGGCGGGATTATGGGCAGCTGGGGTCTCACACACACACCCCGCATTCACCACAGCAGCAGGATCCGGAGCAGTCTGCTCCCCTACGTCCCCTCTCCCGGCTGGCTGCACTTCGCACCACCGCGCCCTGGCCCTGGGGCACTGGACTTCCCAGGGGCAAGAGCAGGGGATGGGGGCGTGCAGGGGGCCGACCCCTGCTGCTGCCCCATGCCAGGCCCCATAATGCTCTGGCTCATGATCTCGGCAGAGGATGTGGGGAGGAGAAGGGGCGGAGCAGAGGAAGGGCAGGGGCGGAGCTTGCAGCAAGGGGGTTCCTTGGGTCCTGGACCTAGATCACTGGGTGGAGTTCCCCATCGCCCCCCAGGGACAGCTCTTGCAGAAACCATGGGGGCCCCTCAGGGCCCATTGGATCCAGCCAGGTCCCCTTATGATTCTAGCTCCCCTGAGCACCTAGCGAGCGACGAAAGAGAAGGGAAAGACATTAATGTGTGCGTGGAGTGGGGGGCGGGGAGGAGGAGGCCAAGGTTGGGGGGGATGTTGACAGGGGCTGCTGGGGTCTGAGAAGGGGTTTTGAGGGCAATGCGTTCCAGTAGCTCCACCCATAATTCCCAGCCCCACCCATTGCCCCCGAATACTCCTGCTGTCCTCAACACCAACCGCACCCTTTGGCCAAGTTCGTAGTTGATTTATCATCATCAGTAGGTTCAAGAATCAACACGCCCCATTGATCTGAATGAGGCTGCTCAGCACTGAAGGCACCAATCCAGACCGCGGGGCTCTGGGAAGGGACAAGGGGTTGATTCGACGAAAGAGAAGGGAAAGACATTAATGTGTGCGTGGAGTGGGGGGCGGGGAGGAGGAGGCCAAGGTTGGGGGGGATGTTGACAGGGGCTGCTGGGGTCTGAGAAGGGGTTTTGAGGGCAATGCGTTCCAGTAGCTCCACCCATAATTCCCAGCCCCACCCATTGCCCCCGAATACTCCTGCTGTCCTCAACACCAACCGCACCCTTTGGCCAAGTTCGTAGTTGATTTATCATCATCAGTAGGTTCAAGAATCAACACGCCCCATTGATCTGAATGAGGCTGCTCAGCACTGAAGGCACCAATCCAGACCGCGGGGCTCTGGGAAGGGACAAGGGCTTGATTTCCCCTGATATTCCTGAGCTCAATTCCTTCCCCAGGCCCTACACCCCCACCCCTCACTCACCCTGCAGCAGGGTCATTGCCAGTAGCACTAGGGCCAGCAGGGAGCTCAGAGGCCCCATGGTTCAGCCTTCCCCAGGCCTCTCATGGCCGCGTGCAGCTGCCTCCGTCTCTTGGCTCAAAACCCAGCTGGGGATGCAAATTCTGGGCCGGTTTTTATGGGCACCGACGTGCCCCTCCCTGGCTCGGTGGGGAATAATGGGGCTGCATTTCCTGCTTCCCCAGGCAGGCAACGAAGAGCCCTGGGGGCTGGGGTCACTGTGGGCTGGCGGCTCTCAGGAGGTCAGGGACGGGGCTGTCATGGGGGTCGGGTTACACGCAATCCTCACGAGGCAATCGTTGGGCTGTGGGGTCGGCCGTTTCCTGCCAGTGGAGGGCTGGCCTGGGGGGCCGGTGGTTCGTCCCTAGCCTGGGAAGCTCCTTAATGAACGATGCCGGGTCTCAAGGACGAGCCAGGGCTTGGACAGCCGGCCCGTGGGCAAGTCTGCCTCTTGGGCCCATGCGCTGCCTGAAGAAGACACCCAAGGACTCTCCTAAAGTGGAGCGGGACGGCTGGGGAAGTTCACTTCAGGGCATTGTGGGGAAACCCTCCAGCCGCCTTCTCCCAGGCTGAGGCGGCTGGTGCGGATGAGCGTCTCAAAGGTCGCTGCAGCAGGCACAGACGGGGCCCACCAGATCCTTAGGCCCCCAAAAGGACGTTTCCTGATCTGGCGGGAGAAGGGGATTTTGCGCAAAAATCAAATGTCCGCACCGCCTGGTTTTGCACAAAAACCGGTAGGCAGAAACAGATGGACAGAAAATATGGAAATGAGATCATGACTCATGCAAACGAGTTCCTCATTAGCATATTTTTGCGGAGAAAACTCATAGTGTAGACATAGCCTTAAGGTTTATTACGAAAAGGAAGAAAAGCCGGAGAGTGAGGTTGTTCAGGAGAACACATGACATGCACCGAATCCCCCAGTTCTGGATGCAGGCTGCTGGCGTAAAAGTCTCTGGTGCACATCCTATGTCAGGATGGGTCCACGGTGCTTCCCGGCTCGCTGTGCCTCGCAAGGCTGCATCTGGGATCAGAAGCAGAACTGAAGACAAGATGGAGTCGCCTTGTGGCATTTTATATCCATCCCTGGTCTCTTCCAAGCTGGAGCGGGTCACATGGCCCAGTGACCGATCCCAGTATCCCCATGATACTGGCTGGTTTGCTGGTCCCAGACACATTCCTCAGGTGGCTATTGGCCTCTCCAAGAGCCTCGTCCCCGGAGCCTCGCTAATTAGTACAGTCACTGACTGACCATTCCCGGCCCTTTGCTCTGTCTCAGACGGAGAATCTCCCAGCGTCAACACAGAGTCCATGTTTCTAACCCCACACAGACATCACACATGCACATGAATCACACACACAGGATCAGTAGGACATGAGCTTTCATTGGACACCTCACATGGCCCCTTTGTACAGACTTTGGGATAACCCCCCCTTGGATCTTTAACATCAAGTAACATGACACCCCCAATCCAGCTATCTGGGGCGCGACAGCCCAGCTCAGCCCCAGGCTTCAAGGCAGCGGACTATAAACCCAGCAGGCACCGCCCCACACGTGTGGGGTAATAGCCCCCAGCTATGGGCCTAGAAGCCAAGTGAGCTGAGGCGTCTCTGCACCCCTCAGCTCCTGTCCCACCCCTCCTGGGGGTGTCCCCCACCTTCCCTCACCCTCAGAGTCCTTCCCCCCCTTTGCTCCCCACCCTCTGCTCCCCACAGATGGGAACCCGGCCTGGGCCCAGGGGAACTCCCCCACACGTGTGGGGTAATAGCCCCCAGCTATGGGCCTAGAAGCCAAGTGAGCTGAGGCGTCTCTGCACCCCTCAGCTCCTGTCCCACCCCTCCTGGGGGTGTCCCCCACCTTCCCTCACCCTCAGAGTCCTTCCCCCCCTTTGCTCCCCACCCTCTGCTCCCCACAGATGGGAACCCGGCCTGGGCCCAGGGGAACTCTC